GGCCGCCTCTTTGCATTCTTGTCGCCTCTTCGGATTCCCTCTAACCCCTATAAATAGGAGGTCATTGTCAGTGCACTATTAGTCATTTTCAACTTTCATACCGAACTCTTGCAACTTTGAGAGTTTCGTCGAGATCAACTTTTCCAACCGAGATCAAGAGAAATAGCCGAGATCTCCATTCTCATCTTACTTCTTAGAAAACAGTAAGTATTCTTCTTTTCATCTCGTACTTGCACTCATGGCTAGAATGCTAAAACCCATAAAGAAACCGTGAGTCCGAACTTCCGCGCCGAAGAGATACCTGACCCCATAGGAGAGACCACTTTGTCCAGCTCTGAGGAGGAGACGTCCAGTTCTGATGAAGAGACCGTCGAGACCTCTACAGTGGAGAGGTCTCCCGAGACGAGTGAAGGGAACTCGGAAGTTCTGTTCGACGACGATCTCGGTGTCGAAGTCCCCCGAGATGAGGGAGTAGCGGAGCCAGTCGCTCCCGAGGACCTCTCTACTGTAAACTTTGGTCACCTCCCTTCGTATAGGAGCCGGATTGGCGAGACCGAGGCAAATAGAATATTGCGAAAGTACGCCTTCAGGGGAGGCTCTAGTATCGAGGCACCTAGGTCGAACCACACAGCCGATAAACCACCCATGGGATTGATTGCCATCTACAATGAGCAACTAGAGGCTGGGTTGAGGATACCAACCACGAGGTTCTTTCGTGACGTGCTTCGGTATTTCGTAGTTCGGGTAACTCAGTTCGTCCTGAATGCGATCCAAATATTGGTGAGGTTCGAGATGCTGTGGTTGGGTAAAGGAAGGCTACATGAGAAGGTTGTCACCATTTATAGGCTCCATGTGTATTTGAGAAGATTATAATGTCTCTTGGATTTGCTCAAATTTGTGTAAAGGAGCTACAATAGTATGTTACCTAGAGAGTGTTTGCATTGCCTTTTACAAGTTTTGTACACTGAACAAAACAAGGCTTGAATTTTTTCTTTTTTAACCATGTCTCGATTTTGCTTGTATAATTTGCCTTGTGGTCTTCTGCAAAATTTGTTGCGTCCAAGTCTGCATATGCAATTAGTTTTTCGAATGCTAAAAATTGCTGTTTGACTCTTGGGGGGTCTCAGTTCTTTGCATTTCTATGAGAACAAGTTTAAGATTTTGCCACATCTTTCAAGTCATGTGTTTCAGGGGTAGGGATCTAATGTAAAATTAAGAAATTACATCTTCTGAATGAGTCTGTACACGAATGAATTTCGATCATTTAAATTTAGCTTAACCAATTTTTTTTGGGGGAATGGGGGTGTGGTGCGTTAGTCAGTAGCTACATAACCATATTCTGATAAGCAAAAACAAGAGGCACTAATGTTGTTGGGAATTCCCAAAACAACAAAATACTATAGTTATCTTTTGTGAAATTCATTTTGGAATACTGGGAGCGAAGCTCGCACGAGGCGTGGGAGCGAAGCTCGCGCTTGTATTTTCAGCTGCTCTTCAACTCTTTTTTTTTTTATTTTTACGATAAAATTTTAGACAATGTAATAAAATTGGGAAAGAAAATAATAACAGAAAAGGTGTATATGAAAGACAAGTATTCAAGAGTATTAGCCAAGACAAGAATATCAGCCAAGAAAAAGATAAAAATCAATAATAAGGTAAGTTTACTAAAACTTGAAGCACAATATCTATTCAAAATTACAAAAAAAAAAAAGAAAGAAAGAAAATGTTTCATCTTAGGAGAAAAACAAAATTAAATGGATGCTGTCAAAACTAATCACAATCATTAAAATAAAAACCCCAGCCTAAATGCTTGCCTTGCAGCTAAAGGAAAAATATGTTGGTCTATTTCTTGAATTTTTCCTGAATTAATAGAAATTCGACCTTTATCTAACAACATGTCTAAAAATAAATATTTCAAAAATAATTGGAATTCTTTGTTCTAAAAATTTATAATTCACGATCTCTCAAAGAGCAACACAATCACAATCTATACAGTCTCGTAAGAAGATTAGCCTAATGTGTCATTCAAGGAAAGTTCCTATACAAATCCTCATAACCAAGTCTTTAGCTTGGACAGTAAGCATATTACAAAGGCATGGCTGGTGAAATCATTTTGCATATTATGCACCAATTAGGAGATTATTAGAATATCTTCATATCACGACAATATATCAACCATGAACTTGTGTATATATTAAGGTAATTATGAGAATATCCTCATATCACTAATATAACAACTATAGACTTGTGTATATACATTAAGGAGAGAAAATTAGAGACTACACTTTCATCTCAAGTAATAATATGATACTAAGGGGAAAAATATTAAAAATATCGATTGCATATAAATTATATTCAATTTATTATATTTTGACTTTATTTCTTAATTTTTATTCCTTCAAATATTTTTATACCTTAACCTTAGCGCTAGCATTGAATGTTATACTTCTGAGTTCAACTCCTAAGCCCACAATCCTATGATATTTGATAGTAACCAAAGGTTATAACTTGTTGTCTCGTCAACTACTGAAGATGACTCACTTGATCAACCTGAAAAAAGAATTGTTAAATTGAGTAAACTCAAGAAAAATTATTAAAAAGAGAATCAACTTCTAGGATTCATAACTATACAACACACACTAAATCTACTGACCAAATTCACATCAACTAATCAATACTATTCCTGCAACTCGTCAATTAGTTAACCATAGACATATTTTAGTTAATGGTCGTATAGTAGATATACCAAGTTATTGCCGCAAACCCTGAGATATTATTACAGGGAAGGATGAACAAAAATCCCGAGCTCCGATTCAAAAATCTCTGGATTCATCCACTTAAGAGAAATTGCCAAGCCATTTGACCTTTCACCCATTCCAACATAAAGGATTGGTCAATCAAATAATAGATAGTAAATGGGTCGGTTTGAAAATAAATGAATTGTTAGTCGTAAAATATTATTCTCGGCATACTTAAACCTAACTAAACTAAATAAGGGTTTGGACATTTTTCTGCCATTTCGTCAAAGTAAATTAACCTAACGTTAAGTAAGAAAATTGACCTGAAATGAAGTTTTTCAAACTAAATGAAATGAAATTGAATATTTATAGACCACCAGGAGTTCATTTATACGCGGGGGGAAGGCAATATTGACATTTCACGTACAACTGTTGGATGCTTTCGGACCAATTTTTAATTTAGTTGAAATCACAAGGAGCTATAGTGTAGGTTTTTAAATCAGAGAGAATTAAATTGCATATTTAACAAATTACAGAGAGTTTTTGAGTATTTTACCCAAAATTAAAAACAAAAACAAAATTAAAGCTTTTAAAACAAGAGAGTAGTATTTGCAAGCTAGCCTAAGTTTGAATAACTTGACCTTTTCTTTGCTTTATTATTTGCAGAGGCTGAATGAATATAGAGATTAAAAACGAAAGAAAAAACCAAAAGTTATTACTATCAAGTATCACAAGTTATGATCTGGTCATACACGAAAACAATTTACAATTTTAAAGAAATAAAAAGGCCCCTTATGATTTAGATTGAAACTTCACAAATTAGAGGTTTTGAATTTAATTCTTTTCTTCATTTATCTCGCTTCCTAAAATCCCACATCTCACTCGTTAAAAGTATAAAAATTTCCTAACATCAGGTATATAATTTCAAGAAAAAGTAGATGCTGTGTCAAAAATAACAATCATATCCAAAATATGAGAATTGAGTGCCAATATTGGTCAAATTTTGATGTTTAATGGCAACTATAACTTAAAAGTAGGGGCAGCATTATGGAGAATTGTCAAAGGAGTTGAGTTCTCAAATTGTCAAAACATCCAACAGTAAGTTACAGTCTGGCAGAACGGGAGATAATAATATAATGTTGTTACTTCTCCTCTCAGCCAGCCCTTTCCAAGATCCAGCCTAAAATCCAAAAGCTTTAGCCACTTCTAAATAATGTTGTTATATCTTGATTGTTACTTAGGTCTTTTATTTGACAAGCCAACGTTTGGTGATTTTAGAGCTGGATTGTTCTCCCATTTTGACCACTTCAATTGAAAATGGTTTGCGTATAGGCAGTGTGGGGTTGATATGAATTCTCTGATATTGGTCAAGTTCAAACTCGATCAAGAATTTCTAAAAAGCCACAAAACTAGAAAAACTTGGGGAAACCAATGAAAAAAAATGATGGAACAAAATCTTTGAATAGGTGAACTAGCTGAATTATGTATTAGAACGCCAAGAAACTCCTTGGAACTTAACAAAAACTGGTGAAACTGAATTAAATCAATAATGTCTTTGCTCCTCCCTTTTTGTTTTTTCTTTTGGGGTTCAAGGAAGACGATTTACAGGACAAAAACGATGAAATAAATCAATTTCAATTAGTTAGAAAAAGTTATCGCTGCCGGCTTAAGAGTTATGTTGGCGAGTGATAACCTCTATAAGTGACTTATGATCTCGAGAGCATGCTTTGATCCATAATGGTGATCGGAGTCGAAACTACTTAAACTCTTATACATGAAAAGAAAAATTATCGCAATGTATTTTTCACGTGTCATTGATATTAACAATAACGATGATGACACAACTAGTCTAGATTAAGAAAAAAAGAAATACTAGAAGGAATGGCAAAAATGGTCTTTGTTAGACAGTCTCTATCACCATCAATAAAATTTTTAAAGCTTTGCTCCTTGGCATAGCATGAAAGCGAATAATAGAAACTGAAAGGAGCTTTGAAATTAAAGTTTAGCTCTCCATGCGCAGCAACGCGTTCTTGGTTGTATCAACTCTATAATCGATTGCTCTGTAATGAACACTAGCGTTTGCCATCTGATTTACAGTTGTTTATTTTTCCTTTCTAGGATACTTCTTCGAGAGCACACGGACAAGAATTCTGACTTTTGTACTAGGAAGCAGCCATCAAACTATATATACAAGCCTTCATTTGTCTACCCCAAAGCATAGCAAATTGAACCCGCAAAAAGCTCTTCTTTCTTCCTGAAACTCTCCACTTCCTAGCCAATAAGCCAAGTAAAAATGATCTCTCTTGCCTTCTTTAAAGCTTCATTCCTCCTGCAGATTTCCATAATTGCATCATTTCTACTGGCTGCCTATGCTGGTAATTTTTATCAAGATGTCGCCCAGAATTTTGGGGATCAGAGGTTCAAGATTCTTGAGGGTGGCCAACTTCTCACGTTGTCCTTAGACAAAACTTCAGGCTCTGGATTTCAGTCCAAGAATGAGTATTTGTTTGGAAGATTCGACATGCAACTTAAGCTGATACCAGGCAACTCTGCTGGTACAGTAGCCACATTTTATGTAAGTCCGAAAATTTCCCATTTTTAGTGACTTAGGATTGTTTTTCCCACAAAATTACACCATCTTTGGTGCTCAGCTCATGAGGGATGATTGTACCCTCTTGTGCAGTTATCATCCCAAGGACAAGGACATGATGAGATTGATTTTGAGTTCTTGGGAAACTCTTCTGGACAGCCTTACATAGTCCACACCAACGTTTATACTCAAGGAAAAGGCGGCAGGGAACAACGGTTTAGCCTGTGGTTCGATCCCACAACATCCTTCCATACCTTTTCAATCGTTTGGAATCCTCAAAGGATCATGTAAGCCCTTTTCATCAATTCATCATCTTATTCAATTCACTTGTGGAATGCAGATGACTGGGCTACTCAAGGCGGCCGTGTTGAGACTGATTGGACACTTGCCCCATTCACTGTTTCTTACAGAAACTTCAATGTAAATGGATGTGTTAAGGTACCTGGATCATCAGCCTGTGGTTCCACAAATTCACTGAACAATGATCAGGCATGGCAAACCCAAGGGCTTGATGCTAAGGGGAGAAACAGGATTTGATGGGTTCAGCAGAAATTCATGATCTACAATTATTGTAGTGATGCTGCAAGGTTTCCACAGGGCTTTCCTACCGAATGCAGGGGCTCTAGGTTCTAGATTGCTCGAAAATTGTTTTCCTTTGTAAAACATCAAAAGTGGAATTCTTTATTCGTTTTGTAAAATTTCTGACAGATTTTGTGAAATTCTTTATTCTTTGTAATTTGTGAAATGGAAATTAATTCTGATTACGTGTTACATTGTTTGAGTAAAAGTTGATATAGATTCCATTTTATTTTCTAGTTTGAGTTTGAATATGTTAATAATTTTTCTCGTGACAGTCATACACCCTAAGATAAATGTTAAGACTTCATGTAAGCACAATTTGAATATTCTAAGAATGTGCTTCATCAGCTGAACTATCCCTAGCCTTGAATTTATAACTAAAGGAGAAATACAAGAAATTTCTCCACAAGCATCTGATCAAAAAAGAACATAATTTTTGCAATATATCTATAAAGGGGCATAGTTATAGAGAGGTTTTGTGGAAATTGAGTTTTTAGACCCTGTTTGGGGCTGCGGTGTTTTTGGTGAAAAAAAAAAAGAAAGACTTTTAAGTACTAAAAATATTTTTAAAGTGTTTGGTGAACAACATTTCATAAAATTAGGAGAAGAGATTTTGGTGTTAAAAGTACTTTTAGCAAAAGCCCAAATTTGGTGCTTTTAAAATAGCTTTTGTAATTTAAAAAAATAAAACATCAAGTTTAAATATTTTTTCCTATATTAGAAACCAAATAAAGAAATAAATACTTATTTACGCGCACTGATTTACTTACAATATCAATACATTTTTCAATCACCTTTTTATCTTACATACATCACATCAAAAAAAATGTTACAGTATTTTTTTAAAAAATTATCTCAAATAATCTCCTATCCAAACACTCTACTCTAAATTTAGGAAAATTTAGCCAAGAAATTAAAAAAAAAATAATTTTAACAGCTAACATTTGGATCCAACTTTTGTCCCGTGCCCTCCCTGAGGGCAGCACAAATAGAAGAAACCTTTTATTAATGTAAGGTAAAGTCATAAGCCAGGGCAAGGATTTGGCTTTGTTAGACGGTGTATCACCTTTCTTTTATTTTATGTTTTTTACAAGGAAGTTCTGCTCCTGGCTGTTAGGCATGAACCCAGAAGCTTTGGCATCAAAGTTGGCTCTCCCCATGGTCCATGCTCCATGCTCGGCAACGCGTTATTCCGTTGTTGAATCTTCTTTACAGCTCTACTAACAGAATAAATCAACACTGCAATTGCCAACTCTCTGCTAGTTTTGTGCCCATTGATTTACAGTTGTAGGTGGTTTCTCACTTTCTCTCCCTTTCTAGGATACCTCCTCAAGAGCTAGCTAAGCTATCAGGAGACCTTTGTATTAGGTAACCAAAAACTATATAAAACCTTCATTGAGCTACTCCCAAATAGGATGCAACGAGTTGAGTCGAGTCAAATTTTAGTCTAATCAAGCCGAGTCTCAAGTTAATTTTACGAAATTCGAACTTGAGTTCGAGCTCGATGAGTTCAAAATGTCAAGTTCAAGCTCAAGTTTAAAAAATAAAAAAATAATTATTTTATTTTTAAAAATAAAAACCAATATTTTATTTTTAAAAATAAATAAAATAATAATTTTTTTAACAAATAATAAAATATTAAAAATATATATATAATTTTACTATTAAGATAAAAAATAAAAAATAAATATATAATCGAGCTCGAGAGCTATCGAGTTTAGTATTTTTGAACTTGAGTTCAATTTCGAGTTCGACTTGATTAGTTCGAAGTCGATATTGACCAAACGCGACTCGAATTGGCATTCGAGCCGCTTCGTTTACAACCCTACACCCAACCATTGCAAACCAGAAATCATTTTCTCTTCTTTCCTTCAAAGATCCTGCTAAGGCTACTGCAAGCTTTTCCTTAGCCCGAGTGAAAATGTTTCCCCTTACGTCGTCTAAAGCTTCATTGCTGCTACATTTTTGTCTAATTGCCTCACTTCTGCTTGCTGCCTCTGCTGGTAACTTTTACCAAGATGTCGACCAGAATTTTGGCTGCCTTGTACATACATATATACAAGTATATATTTTTTATTTAATACGAATAGTCTAAAAGAATTACGAGCATAAGTTACCTTTAACAATTCTAAATCTATACTACTAATATTGCCTTTTTCTTTAAATTTTCCGCATCCTTCCGATTATATTATTAAATAATCACTATCTAAAGGAAGTCTTAGATCCGGTGGTCTTTATTTTCTTAACATTTTGTACTAGTTTTATATCTTATTAATTAAAATGTTTTTGACAATTTTGTCCTTTTATGCTAGTTTTACTATATAATGGTCCTATTAATTTATTCAGGTTCGAAACAAATGGTCTAGCATAGTTTAATAGTCCCAAAACTTTTTGGAGTTCTTTTGTTTCGTCTATTTTATCTGAAAATTCTAAAACCTTTTTACTAATATGTGGTTGTAATTTTATTTTACCATTTCCTATTTTTGTTCCTAAAAATTCTATATTTGAACTAAAGAATTGAGCCTTTTGCTACTTCTTATTATTCATGTTTTAGGAATTCTGACAAAACTAGTTTCAAATGACTAATATATTCATTTCTAGTTTTTGAAAAAAACCAAAATATCATCAATATATACAACTACAAAATTGTTATATTTACTAAACATACTATCCATTTTTCTCTTGAAGACTACTGGTGCATTTTTTAATCCAAAAGGCATTACTAACTATTCAAAATATCCTAAAAGGTCCTGAGAAAGCTGTCCATCATTTTTATATTAAATAAAAAAGACATATATTAAATAAAATTTTGCAAGAATGGCAGGAATTGAAAAAATAAAATAGGGCCAATTGAAACTCAACAAGCCTTTGGTGGGGTGGGAGGCAAGGTTCGGCAAGGTTTCGAACCTTGCCTCCTACTAAATTGTCACAATTGTGGTTCTTAAAAAAAACATATGCACCACGCACCTGTCTGATCCGATGGTGGTTCTGTCCCCATCGACTCCTCATAGACCTAGTTGGATCTTCCCTCTAGATAGAGTAGGAGTAGAAGTAGGGTTGACGATTGACAAAAAAAAAAAAAAAAAAAAGCAACTCAACAAACATCCAAAAGGATCCGATCTTCATTTTCAGGTATACTGCAAAAGACAACTCAATGAACTTCACCAAACCCTTACAGACAGCTTATGGAATGCACAAAATGTATCCCAAAAAATAAAATCATTTAATGCTTTAGCATATTATTTTACAAAAGTCTTACAAAAACCCCTTGGACAGGGATTTTCAGTTTATATGATGGTTTCTGGACATCATCCAAGAATATACCCCCACTTGGATAAAAGTGTTAGATAATATTAGAAATTTTCAAAACCCTACTTAAAAAGGACTTTTTTTAATATTAATGAAGCTCTAGAATATACTAGAACCAAAATAGGATATAATTTTTATATTGACCCTGAAATTAGAAATGAGTTATAAAGGGCCCAAGCACAAAATACGCAAGCCTCTAGTAGCACTACTTTTTCTGAAGTGATAAGTTGAAATCTTACTACAAAACTAGAATTTTGTAAGCACTGTGAATGTGTGTATGTGTGTAAATATATATATATATATATATATACATATATTGTGTGTGTATGTGTGTGCGTATATATGTATATATATAGGTATATATATATATATGTGTGTGCGTATATGTACATATATATATACATATATATATATATATGCATACATATACAGAAATATATATCTATATATATTGTGTGTGTATGTATGTATATATGTGTGTGTGTATGTATATATATAGGTATATATATGTGTGTGTATATGTACGTATATGTGTAAGTAAATTTGATGCCTTCTAATTAGCATCGCGCGACTTGCGAGTAACTTGGACCATTGAGTATTGAGTTGCAACCGCAATTATCTTCTTCAGTTTTCAGATTACATAACGATGCACCTCTCTAGCTTCTATGCTTCTCTCAAAATGCTGCTCCTCCCTATCTTCTAGAGCCACTCTCAATCTAAAACAAGGAAAACAACAGTACAAATAACTGGGGATCTACAATTTCCAGCTACAATTTACTTTTGCAACTCCCATTTGACTGGCACCAACACTTATAAGACACCATGTCCCAATTTAGATAACAGAGAAGATTAATTCCTATCCCCCTAATTTCTTTGTTACATCTTCCACCAAATTCTTCCAATCCTCAAGAACTTGTTCTTAAGTTCTGTAGACATCTTTAAAATGTGGTTCGTTGGGCATTCCAACAGGGCCGTACTGAATCCTCCTCCTATTACAAGAAGAAGCCACCTTATAAATCGCCTTGGACTAACATGATGGGCCAAGGAAAAAAAAACAAGCATTATGTATTGATTACGACAAGATGAACAATAATGGATTTGTACAAAGAAAGTGAAAATAACCTGTCTTTGAGGACATAGCTGTTCAACACCTTGACTTATCCAGTCATTAGTAACTTGAAGCTCCGTCGATGTTTAGTTATCCTGGGAAGATGGAGATTAGATGTAATAGCTATTGATCCTTGTAACTATGCATACTGAAATTCTGCCTGGTATTAAGAGTGAAGGGAGTGATCAGTGTCTTTTTCAGCGCAACAACTTGCTGGATCTTACCATATCCCAATTAGCTGGCAGCTTAGACTTGATCATCAGAGAAAATAAAACCTGTTGAAAGAAGAGCAACCGAAGATCAGATTCATTTCAATTTTTGAAAATCAGGATGTTATAGTGGCTGATAGTGATTTTCTTGTATGCTCTATCACCTAAAATGTTTGTCAGCTATGCAGATCCAGTTGCTTGGCTACTAATTTATGGAAGAGGGTTCAACCAAGATGCCGTGATGCACTGAATCATGCACCTGTTTCACACTTCACTAATTTCACACTATCAATCCAGCAATCCCAGGAATTTTCCCTCTAAGGTCTTCTGCATCAAACCTCAATTTTTGGACATCATCCCATCTTCCATCACTAGCATAGATGTTAGAGAGCATAACCTTGTAACTGTTTTTTGTTTGCTTACTTTTAAAGAGATTCTCAGCAACCACCTCCGCCAATTCATAATTCTCATGAACATTACAGCATGACAGAAGTGCACCCCAAATGCTGGAGTCAGCCGGCTGTTGTAGTGATTGGACAAGTTCAAAAGCCTCTGTTAGTTCTCCAGCCATTCCAATAAGCTTGACCATGTGAACATAATGCTCATTCTTAGGCAAAATGCCAAATTCATCTCTCATTCTTCTGAAATATTCCCTACCAGTATCAACGAGGCCAGAATGACAGCATGCACCAAGTAGAGCAGCAAATGTAGATTCATCTGGCCTGATGCCTTCTGAAAGTACCTCCTCAAAAATTTGAAAGGCCTCAGCTGCAAATCCATACAAGCCAAGACAGGCGATTATTGAGTTGTATGAAACTATATTCTTTTTAGGCATAGACTTGAAAAGCTTCATCCCCAACCCCAAATATCCACACTTTGCATACATGTCAATTAGAGCAGATGACACCGTGACCTCTGAATGGCATCCATGTCGAATAGCATAACCATGTAACTCACACCCAGGCCTTACAATTGCAGTCTGAGCAGCAGCTGCCAATGCACTAGAAATCAATACATGATCAGGCTTTCTGCCTTCCAAGTTCATTTTCCTGAAAAAATCCAAGGCCAAATTATGCTGTTCTGCCTGAGAAAAACCCGTTATCAGGGCAGACCATGTAACTAAGTCAGGTTGTAACAAACTATTAAAAAGTTTATACGCCCAATCCATACACTTCAACCTAGAATACATATTCACAAGCACACTATTCACATGACCAATCCAACCAAAATTACATTTGACACAAAAACCATGAACTGATTCTCCAATTCTGAGCAGAGTAGGATCTGTTAAACCGATGCTCAACCCAACGACCGTATAGCTATCAGGGCATTTCCCCAGTTCTCTCATCTTCCTGAACAATTCCATCCCTTTCTCCCAATTCCCACAACATCCATAACCCGAGATCATCGAGTTCCACAACACTAAATCTGGCTCAAGAATCCCATAGAACACTCTACTTGCTTTATCAAGATGACCTAATTTCGAATAAGCACTGACAAGTGCACTACAACAAACCGAGTCCAATCCAAAGCCTAAAACAACACCTAGACCATGCACAATCTCCAATCCATTTATATCAGCTTTTTCAGAACACGCCCGCAGAATACACGCAAAGGTGAAATTATCAGGGCTAGTTTCCAAACTAAGCATACGCTTGAACAACGCAAATGCGTCTGAAAACAAGTGGGTTTTAGCATAAGCTCGAATAATGGAGTTCCACAGGAAAATGCTTCTTTGGGGAGTTTCATCAAACAGTTGGTGGGCTGAACACAGGTCGTTATTTATGGCATATAATCGCACAAGCCTTGTTGCATAAAACGGGTCTCTTGACAGGTGGGTCTTGATTATAAAAGCATGCAAAATTTGGGTTCTTAAAAGGGTTTGATGGGGTCTTGACAGCTCGGAAAGAAGAGCGCGAAATGGGATCAGCATTTAGGCCATTTATACGAAGGTTGTTAGCTCTATATGATGGCCATTATTATTTGCTACTTATTGGTAATTATATCTCTTTCCTATTTTTCTTTTCCCATTTCATCACTCGCCGGATTAGCAGCTAAATTGTCACCAGTCATTCCAGATTACATCACCTTGTATGTGTTGGGTTTTTGAAGTGCTTTGACGCGTTTCGAGATTTGATAGTTAAAAAAAAACAAAAACAAGTGAACGAGTTGGATTTCTTGCATTTTGCTTAGTGCTTCCTTGGGCACTGGACGTGTATATAACCGGAGACCCCTGAGGGCGGGCGAAAGCTGGTTCAAGATCACATGCTAATCAACAATTTCAGAGATATTACTCTTTTCTTTTTTCTTTTTTTTTTTTGTCAAACAGAGATATTACTCTTATCTAGCACTCCGTTTTAACTCTTTTTTTTTTTTTTTTTGTTTTAACTCTGCCACTAATTTAAAGTTAATGTCATGATTTGATTACCTAATGTTCATGTATGTACGAGTTGGGGCAATGGGGCTCCATAGTCCATGGCTGTAACGGTTTTCATATCTGTAGGGTTTTTCGGTAGATTTTTAAGATTGTAGAAACAAATACTTTTTTTTTTTTTTGATAAACAAAACTTTGGGTGAATTCAATTCAAGTTACTATCACGGGTCATGACATGTTTTTGAAACCATATGTCACTTATAAAGGTTCGTACAAATTATCCATCAATACAGGTTTTACATCAAAAATGAAATTCAAACACACGATCTTTAATAAGAAAGTGATTCGTCCTTATTAATTGAGTCAAATTGTGTTGACATAGAAACAAATACATGATGCATACCTCTTTATTTTGATACGTAAGTACATAATAATAATAACAATGTAAAATCAGAAATGTTGTAGGTCTTCATTTTTCACAAATAAAATTCTCATCCCTTACTTTTTCTTTCTCCCAAAAAAAATAAATAAAATAAACAAAAAGTGATAAGAGTAGGCGTGCTATTGGCCAATGATCTAGAGATGGCAAGAAAACCCCATTGCAAAGAGGAATTGGATCTTTGGTTCATCATTACTCCATTGAATTTCGTGGTCTGAGTCAGAATAAATACATCAATGCATTATTTCGTCTCTCCATTGCATTTCGTCGTCTAAGTTAGAATAAATACGTCAATGCATTTCTTCTTTCAAATCAGAATAACTAACGTTTGCCAACCTTTTGTCTTCGAAGCTCTAAGTATGTGTTACCTTTCTAAAGTACTCTTTCCCTGAATACGGTTCAAAAAATTTCCCATTTATAAAATGGATATGGTATATCATTATGAGATATCAGGGCTCATCTTTTTCTGATCATTCGAGAAAGTAGTAAAAGATTTATGACATGGTTTCCTAAAGATCAAAAAAACAGGATGACAATGGGCACATCCACCAGTAGTTTCGTCAACGACAGTCCAGCAACTTTCGATCTCTTTGTTTTGCCCGGTAAAAGTTGGAGTTTCAGTCTTTTATTGGATTCAAGAATCACTAGAACAACATAGCTTGTACTTTCAGATATCCGAAAACAAACATGAGAAAAGATCACCATGAAAACATCTTCATATCAAAACACTTCACGTTCTCAATTTTCTAACTAAAAGCGGTCTCAATACATCTACAAGGAGAATTGCAGCCACTGCTGACATGGTTTTTGCTCTCATAAGAGAGAGAAAGTCGTATGTCCGGTAAAAATTATTCACATGCTCCTCCAGTAAGCCAGTGATGAACTATGGAGGCCATAGAAAACGATAGTTTAGTTTCCAAAGTCTAGAATATCCTTCAGGCAGTCAGAGAAAACTAGCAGGGCTGTCAGAATTGCTCATTTCCATATTCCTGAAAACTTGGACCAGAAATACAGCACAAAGATGCAAACGACTGCAAAAAGGATCACATGCTTAACATGATCTGAGCCTTCTCGGACAATTCTCTGGTTCAATCTCCTTGAGTTATTCTTCAAGGCTGCCTGAGCTCTGACTAGTGGCAGTTTCTGAGTTTACAGACAAGAAAACAAGTGTCCGATATAAGCATTTATGTCATGCCTTTAAGACGTTAAAGGAAAAAGTAAAAGCTTAGACTGAGAGATGAGCCAACATTAGTAAAGATGAACACATCAAACACAGGTGTTAGTAAAGGGCTAATGTTAATTACAAGGTCATTAATTATTAGTTAAAAGGAATTTATAATGAGTAACAACAGCATAAAACCATTGCAATGGAGGAGTCAGTCTAAAAGGCTTCTGGAAAACTTGGAGGTCCAACACTAGTATGCATGCACCAACTTCTGGAAAAGTTGATCCAACAATTGTCTGAATTTCTTCAAGAAGATGCAAAGGGCTTGGATTGGTACTCTTGAGAGTAGATGCAACAATATGACTGTCACATGCTCAATGTAGAAAAATCATTTCTCTAATTAAGAGAGAACAAGAAACAGTTGAGCATATGATGATTCCGAAAGGCTAAACTGAGACAAAGCTTTCGTCATGCACAATTGTATTAAAATGTGTCAAGCACTTGACAGACCAATATCTCTTGTTTTTCTTGAAATTGAGTTCCACAAGTTATGTAGTTTCTCCATAGTCTCTAGTTCTGTACGCTACGTTAGACAAGTGCTTTTAGAAGATGAAGACCATTCCATACGATAGCAAATTGTCAACAAGCAATCACAGAAAGAAAGATTTGACAAATAACAAAGCACCTTCATCAATCTAATTTTTCTATTCTTTGTTTCTGAAATAAAGACAGAGATACAGTATGCATCATGCATCACAGATATAGGAGGAAATCTTTTAACAAAGAAATAGCTCCAAAATCCAAGCAATTACAAAATAAGTGATGTTAAGCTCATTTTGCTCAACAACTCCATATGAGATGCATCATTTATCTATAGCCTCTAGTTTGCATAGAAATATGACTCATTTTTTCGCAACTTTCCACCAAATAAAAAGGTAAACTCACTTTACTATAGAATCACTGGATTAACTCATAGAATAGAATGGTGGTATCTATACATCAAGTACAATAGTACGACTTAAACAGACTACGAGTACTCAAAGTCACACCTAAAACTCAGTAGGTAATGTCATCATGTGCTATGAAAGTTTAAACTCGAGAAACTCTACTCCCAAAGCTTCCAAGGGGGAAAAAACCTGCAGCCTATGTACATATCGCTTTTCACAAGTTCATTATACTTTAACCAGATCACATCTCAAGTGTGCCAAATGTGACTAATTGCTCAACCTCTACCCAAATGAATGCAAATTCGTGATTCATCATAAGCAAATCTAGCTAAATTTCTCTGCAAATTTCTTGCTATTGAAAATTTCTATGACTATGGCCATTGTGAATAAGTATGAAGACCATGCAGTACATGATAATCGAAGCAAGAACCATTGATCTTTTGAAAGACCACATCATACAGAACCATACCATAAAAAATAATGGCTAAAACATTCTCCATTTTCACTAAAACTACAACTGATATGCTGACAAGAGCTTTGGACAGAGTCTATCCACTTCCAAAACGACATGCAGTGTAAAAGTGAAATTTCCCAGTAATAACATGTAGAAAAATATGTAGACAAACATAAATACAAGAAAACAGAGTAAAAAGCTACAACACAATTTAGCAAATTCACAATGATGTGATATTTAAGACTTAAAACTGCAACTATCAATCTGTAGAAAACAATGGACACAAACACGAATAAGACTAAAAGTGCAACAACATAATCACTCAAAACTTACACATAATCCTGTACCATAGCTACTAGCACATAGAGACTGAAACAGCAATACTCCATGCCACATTCAGTCACTAATCCCTGATTAAATTCATATTAACATCCAATACTGTTGATTCTACAAAATCCAGAACCAAACAACAGGAAGTAAATTTTTAATACAGTCAATGTAAAGTGGATGGCATACCAGCACTTTGACCAAGTTATGATGATATTTTGCCTCAGCCTCGATCTCATATGACACCTGCAACATTATGTATCAATCAGAGGGGAAAATAGCAAACTATAAAGATAGCTACTACTTAACACTTCTGAATCCTACATGGCAAATTCATCATTGCCCAAACTTTTGGCAAATATGAAGGATTAATAAGTTAAAAATTGCATTCCATGTCAAATTTGCATACGTAATAATATTTCAGATATTAATCACTAGATGAAAAAGAATCTGAACCTATTATTAACAAAATCCGCACCCAGTGCGTGTTTGTGCGAGAGAGAGAGAGAGAGAGAGAGAGAGAGTACAGTATACAAGTACATATTGTGCATGGATATACTATATGCATGCGAAATTCAGCAAAGAGAAACTGATTCTGTTTTTTCTCAACTAACTAGGTCTTAAAAATTAAAAGGAGAAAAAAGACCGAAATAGTACATTTCTCAGTTTTAGAACTTGACCGCGAAGATCAGTGACTCCATAATCCAAGGCTCCTTGCTCTAAATCATTAATTTCCAGCTGTATTTCACCAGAATTATTTCCCTGTCGCCTGGTGATTAGCCCCTCTCTGTTTCGCGATATTCGTTTCACAAAAAAAATACGTTAAAGAAAAAAAAACTACTAAAAAAAAAAAAACCAAAGAAGCAGCAGTGTTGAAATTTCCACAGCAAAAACTAAGATGAAAAACAAAAATCTCTTAGCTTCGCTTGATGCTAGGTTCTAGCCAAACAATTAACTAATTTTTCCTGTTCCTTTCCATTTCTTTTTTTTTCCACCTCTTAAGGCGAATAATTTTGGAATTTTGGCGCACGAAAAGAGAATAATGAAAGGACATCGTTAGTAAAATGCGAAAACCTGGCTCTGTACGGAGCGGCGAGGTAGAAGTCGCCGCCGTGGCCTTCGTCGGAGTTGGAGGACGCCATTGCAGCAAAGATTGGAGGAAAAACTCGTAGGAAATTAGAAGAGAGAAGAAAACGTGAAGGTGAAGAAAAAGTTCTGAGCGTCTGGCTGAAGTAGATGGAAGGGACTGAGCAGTGAGCAGTGACGGTTAGAGGGTAATTCATGGAGGTGGAGAAGTATTCCTACATCCGGTGTATTTTTAATCAATAGACTAAATCCCCTTTTGTTCGCCACGTCATTAAATGTACATGTTATCCATTATTAGAGCAATCTGGTTCATGAATGCCTTATGCACCCGATATGCTTAAGTATTAGTACCGTAACCCAGCAGGCACTGGGAAGTTTCCTTGCTTTTCATTTTCTGAGTTTTTTTTTTTTTTTTTACTCGTGATTGTTTTGGAGCTGTAACCCAAAAAAAAAAAGTTTAAGGAATAAGTAAATAAATTGATTAAATTTGTAAATTAATTACATACAAATGGTGACTTGTCCTCGTAATATTTTTCAAGAAATAAAGAAGACACTAGCAGTTTAAAAAAGAGTTTTAATTTTGATAATGCTTTAACATATATATAATTATATATTTATATGTATATGTTATATATATATATATTTCTGTATATTATATGTTTGAATAGAGTATTATTTGAAATATTATTTGGAATAATTACTGTAGCACTTTTTGTAATGTGATGTATGTGAGATAAAAAGATAATTAGGAATATAAAAAGATGGGTTGGAAAATGTGTTTATGATGCAAGCGAGGTTTGTTTGGATTGAGCATTATTTTCCCAATTTTATTTGCTTACGTCATCATTACAATTTCCAATACACCTTTTTATTTTTCCAATTACCTTTTTATCTCACATACATCACACCACAAAAAGTACTACAGTAAAAATATTCCAAATAACTTACAATCCAAACAAAGATATTTGTGCTATCCAAACACTATATCAGTGTGTTTTGGACGGGAGATTATGTGAAATATCATTTGAAATAATTACTGTATCACTTTTTATGATGTGATGTATGTAAAATAAAAGGATAATTAAAAAAATAAAAGGATTAATTGAAGATCATGTATATGATGCAATCAAATAATATTTTGCAAATAAACCTCGATCCAAATTTGCTTGCATAGCCAAATAATTAAGGAAGACGAACTAAAAGTCACAAGATGCTTTTAATTGTGTTACTTTAGCGTATATGATTCTCTTTCGACTCTATTTCTGCATTGTTTCCTTCCTGAGTATAAATTCGAAGGGATAATTTTAGAAACCTCCCTTGAGATTTGTCATAATATTATTCAGCTCTTCTAAAATTTTTAAAATTTCACCTACCTTCCTTGTTAATTTGACAAGACTAAATATTCCTATCAAAGGTCACAAATTAACAACAACATTACCCTTGCTCTTAATAACTATTTAACCAAAAAGGCAAAATAGAATAAAATTTTAAAAGCAAAAAATGTAAATTAAAAAAAATTGCTAGCTAATAATGATTCATATTTTTTTACATTGGAGTAGTCATGGTGGAATAACAAAGGACATAAATAAATTAAATATAATCAAGACAAACCATTTAGGAGGATTTTAGAAGTAATTAACGCCTTAAAAAATTTCGTGCACAGTTACAATTAAGGAAGCCATGATATATTTTTGGGGAAATTTGTTTTAATTCATGGTGTAGTTTAAGTTGTATTGAAAACTAAAATAATCTCTTCATGTGTGTAAATTTTTTAAGGTGTAAATTTTACTTTTGTTCCAATACAATTAAAATAAATAGTTTACTTGAAGAAATTTATAATATTATTTTATTTTTTATTGTTATTATAAATTTCATAAGTAGGATGATATAAGGGTAGTATTAGAACAAAAGTTTTATCTTTCTTATATTTCCTCCAAAGGGGTTAAAATGTTATAAGAAATGTCAATCCAAAGGAGATAAGTAAGATTTTAAAAAATCTCAAAGAAGTTGAGTGATATTATAAGAAATCTCAGGGAGGTTTCTGAAATTATCCCAAATTCTAATCTACCCTTAACTTTAATTTACAATTTCTTGGGCAGAAAAGATTTGCTGTAACACTTGTTTTACACTACAACTAATTTCTTCAAAACGATAATTTTACACTCTAATAGTCAAAAAATTAAGTTCACTCCAAAAAGGGGTTGCCTAATTGCATTTGTCATTTCAAAACACATTTGCCTGCACTAATACACGTAATGGTGAAATGATCACCAACCTTATGTTTGTCATAGTACTAATACAGTAATAGTACTAAATAACTGGATTCAATTTACATTTTCAGTTTTTTGTTTTTTGACAAGACCTGGGGAGGAAATTGACATTAAGCCAAATCTCGAGGATTAAAATGCAAATTATTCTTACAAAAAAAGGCAAATAATAATTCCCTCCATTTACCGTAACCGGTTTTCCTACACAGATAGTGGGCCCCTGCCACCGCCCAGTTGCCAGACTACTCAGTTTCGGTACTATTCCATTGCCAGTTTCCTCCAAGACTCGGAATCCTTACTGGTTCATTAATGGCGATTACGCACACTCACACACTGTTTCCCACTCAGGCAGTCAGGCTTGAAGAAAAGAAATACACCAAAATTGGAAGAAGACAACAAGGAAGAAGATTTACAAATTCCATAGCAAAACGAAAAAAAAAAAATCATGGACCCTGGAGAAATTCAACCAGAAGAGCAGCAACAGATGCTGGCTCTGAAGCAGCAGTTTCAGATAGACTACTCTGTGTTTTTCAACTACACGACTACCTCAAGCTACCAGAATTCTCGATCCTTGCTGCAGAAGGAAAAGAACAACAACAACAACCAGGTTGACGAGCGCCTGATTCCGCATACGAAGAAGAGGGGTAGGAGTAAAGGAGGCGCTTGGCTCTCTTCTTCGTCTTCTTCAACGGCTTCTCTGTTCCTTTTCAGATACACTTGTCATTCTCCGCTCGTCCTCCTCATCTCCCTCGCTGGAAGAATCCAAGTTAGCATTGCCACCCACCCTTTTTTTTTTCTTTCCTTCTCCCTCCCTTTTTGGTTCCTTTACTATATAGTAGGTAACAATTTCTAGTAGCATAAAATGGAGGAAGCGGGAAAAGATGGGCCATTTCCACTTGGGTCAACCTTTGTTCTGGATTAGTCTATTTGGGTGGGCCCCTTTTGACTTTTCAGCTGGAAAATTGGAAGCGGAAAGGGTGTGTAAATGTAATGGGACCTCCTTGTATTAGAGCCCTTTTTTATTTCTTTTTTATCTGTGGCTTGTTTTGTTGATTAAATTGATGATAATTAGTTTTAATTTTCTGGGTTTTTTATGTTAATTTTTTGCTGGATCACAGGTACTCTTTTTTATGATGTCCATGGATTGTTTAATTTACGTATATGTGATATGTCTATATATAGGGTGCTTCAACGGAATTTACAGGGATGCTGTGTATACCTACTTTTTCCTCTTTTTTTTCCCTCAAGAATTGAAGCCTTGATTTTATGTCTGTGATGGAATCTAGGGGAAATTTGGGGAAAAGGGTCCTTATTTTGATGCATCTCTACAGAATGTTGCTCCAGATGTATAGCATTCTACTTCTCCGCAAAGGCTAGCGGTCTATGGAATGCAGTGTTGTTTATCATGCTATATAACATGAAACTTTGGGCTTTGAATTGATAATGTGAAGAGATCATTTTGAAGGACGAGTGCTTCAATTTTTTGTTTTTTGTTTTTTTTTACCTTTTCCATGGTCCAATTCTGTAGCCTCTGCTTTGCTGCCAATTTTGATCATTCTGAAAAATAAATGGTTTTCCTTGGTTTGATAAGTATTGCTCGGTAAAAATGCTTTTTAGCTTTTATTTTTAGTGCATTATGAATTTCTTCCTGCAATAGCTTCAATTTTCACTAACAGCAGGGCTTTACTATTTTGAGGAGCTAATGAAGTGCCTCAATGCCTTGCAGAGGTATTACTCTCCAAAAATTACTGAATTTGTAAATCTGCGATGGTTAATGATTTCACATATGGACTGTTAACTCGGTTCTGCATTCTGAAGATCATTTCCTGCTTTTGTTCTATAGCATTTGAGTTTAATGTTCGTCTCATTGATCTGATACTTAAAGGGTCTCCATCTATTCAACTTTTTGATAATGTTTATAGATTTTGCTGATGTTCTTCCAAAGAGTCTTTTAGTCACTTATGTAGACAATTTTAGATGGATCTTACTATAGTTAATATAATGGTAAGAATAGTTCTGATTTAATGAACACCTGATGTAAAGTGTTGGTTCAGGAGTTGGATACATAAATTAACATAACAACACCAACCCCCAATCCCCCCTTCTTTCTTACTTTGTGAGACCTGTAAATAGTCCTCAAAAGGACCTTTTCATATGTTGCAGGAAGAACACTTCATTTCCAAGCTGCACTTTTCTTGGCTCCAGATGTCATGCGCATCCGGTAGCAGAGTGGTACTTGCAAGCTACAAAGACTCAGTGGGCCAGGCAAGCTTTCACACCCTCATTGTAATTACAACAAAGGATTGCTTTGTTTTCATGCTTTATGAGATGATGTTCACAGCATCTTCAGAACACTTATTCCGAGACTGAACAATGGAAAAGAATTATATAAAATTTCCAGTCCTTCCTTTTCTTTTTTTCTTACAGGTTTAAATTACTAGACATTAAATAAAATTGGTTTTGCAGTGGTTTCTGTATCCGCGTAATATGAACTATGATTTTGCTTTCATTGCAATCTGTAGCATCTACTTATGAAAGATATCATCAAACATCTCTTGAATTGGGAATAAATGAAGCAAAAAGAAATCCAAAAGAGAATTTAAATTTTTATGCCACATAATACTAGTCTGTCATATTTTCTACTTTCATATTGTCAATTGACTTTTCTTCTGGAACTATATTAAGAAATCAGTCTTCTTCTGAAGTAAGGTCTAACCAGCTATGTTGGTTTGGTGCATTCTGCTGCTTGATTAAATAGGATTAGCAAACCTCATAGTTACAAACTTTTGTTGCTACATAGCTGCATGATTAAACAATTCTGTACTCAACTTGATTTCCAGCTACTCTAGCCCTTAAGCATGCTTCTTCTTAGCTTAATCCCTTTTTTCTTATGTCTTCCTTTCTCAGAACCATGTTTGTTTACTTGATAACACTGTGTGGAGATCTTGAATAATGAGTGGTTCGGATCCTGCTTAGTTTCCATAAGAATCAATGAGCCTTTCTTGTTGCTTAACAAATCTACATTGTTGCCTTTAACAAGTAATGTCATCCTAGGATTTCCTCTGGGACACAGAGAACTGCTTTGTTTCTGGCCTAAATCTCATTATACTTCCATTTATATCCTAGTCTTTGCAAGAAGTATCTTCTTTCCATCAAAAATTTGATGCCCAGATCCTATACAATATTCAAAGAATTTCTCATTAACCTGTATCTTTCAAGAAGAAGAGTTTTGATAAGGTTTTAGAAGCCTGAAGAGGAGCTGAAAGTCATATGACAATCTCAGTCATGTTTAATCTTGGTAATTTAGATTTATGTTTCACTCAGTAGAAATGCTTGCATGAGGTAGAATTACATTTCTCTGCTTCTGTTCATCAAAAATTGCATGTAGTATCAACTTTATGTTCCTTGCTATTTATACTGAATTTTTGGGCTTTAAACATCCAGTTGAAAGCTGACTCTGAAGTTTCTATTTCATAAACGCGGGTTGAGACTTTTGTCTTTCTATCCCTAATGACTGCGACAGTGAATTGCAGATACAAAAGTTTGCTATGCGTTTTGTGAACTCATTGGAATCACAATCTTTCATAGACTCCTTGAAGGTGAAACTCTCCAGTGCTGTCTGTTTTTTACTTAACTAATTTGGTTTATTTTCTTGGTCATGCAACTTAGATGCATACATGATCTCACAGGAGAGCTTGAAAGAAGTGGAGCCAATTGGGGCATCGACTGACAATTTTCTACCAGGACAACCAGAAAATGAGCGCATCCAAATGGATGGAGTGCATCAAAGGTAAGTTAGACATTTCTGATCCAGACAGACTCCGTTTATGAGACCCCATTGAATAAGGGAAAATTACGCAATGGAGTAAAAGGGAGCAAAAATCAACTTAATCTAAGAAATACCAAATGGAGGAAGATAAAATTAGTGCTGATGCTTAGTACTTGTGCTTGCAGTGCGGCTGAAGAATTGAATCCTATCTATCCAGCTAGTGATGTTACTCCTCTAGTGCAAGTGTCTGTTAGTCATGATGTGGGAAATGCTGTCTCTAGGGAAACACTATCTCCTGCTAACAATAGAAGCATTGATGGAAACCTACCTTCGAGTTTCACAGCCTTCCTTAATGATAGCTGTACTGAGCCACAAGAAGGTAAATCAATAATTAGATGCATCGATATTCAATCTGCCTCTCAGATGTCTTGTTCTAACTCGTTGATCACTCACTTGCAACAGAACCTTTGAATGTCCCCATGGAAGATGATCCCTTCTCCCACCTTGTGGTAATGTTTGCAATCTTACTGCTTATTTCCCTCTGCTTTGCTTGTGGCTTTTAGTTGTCGAAGGGCATCATGCAGTACTACTGGCATCGTCTGCGAACATTTACATTTTTGTCACATCTTGCAAGAAAAGTTTCAAAAAATGTGAAGTTTCCGTTTATGCCCACTAACAAAGTTAACAAACATTGCGATAAGCAAATCATACAGAAATGTATGCAATGATTAGACCTCCGTTAATTTTCTTGATGTATTCTTCTCAAGTGGCTGGCACAGATCAACAAAGTTCTGATGGCCAACTGAAAAACCTGTAATTGACACTGCTTACTGGCCTTATTAAAAATAAATGTTCACATAATGCAAAATTTTCTTTCATTAACATGAATATTTACTGCAACTTCCCTCTCTCGTATGTTTTCCCTCTCTCATCTTTATTCTTGTTTGGTTCTTTTGCAGAAAAACTTGTCTGCTTCTACCTTTCATGGTGAGTAATCATTAAACGTACAAATTTTCCATCACACCTATTTGTCGTCAAATGATTGTTTAAGTCAATTCTATTAAGTAGTGCCTTCTTGAAATCTGCCTTGGCATCTGCTATTTGTTACCCCTTTCAACAAGCTTATAATGATGGTGTATTTGCTCCATCTTGATTCAGTTCCCAAAACTGGATGTGTATAACAAGTAACATAATTTGAAGAAAACTCTGTCATGTTCCAGTAGAGACCATGTATGTGTCCACTTGGATGTTCTTTTTATCAGTGTTCCTCTATAAATCCTCTCTTATTAATTAGTTGCATTTTTTTGTTTCTTGTCGCAGTCATGTTGGGTAAACTGGAGAAATTCATCAGAGACACTGGAGGAGACCTGGCTTTGCGGCTGTCCTGATTGTTCATCCACTCCTCTGTTAAAGTTGAACATTCTCCATTGTTAATACCATGCTTCAAATACTCTGTCATAGAACTTGTAATCTTTAGTCTCATCCATCTATATATCCATGTATAGGCTTATGGTGCATCTTGGCAGTATGGTTTTGTTAGCATTTTGGTTCTTTAGTTCCTATATATTCAATTTGATCTCCTAATCTTAATGGATTGACTTAAGGGCTGTCAATGGGCTGGGCTAGCCTAAGCCCGGCCCTTCGGCCGTTAAAAAGCCCAATAAATCTGACGTTTAAAAGGGCGGGCAGAGATTAGGCCTCAGTAATATGTCCGAATTAAATGTGAGTCGAGTTTAGGTCTCACTAGTAGGCTCAAGTCCAATTAAAGCTCGACTCATTCATATGTATAATTATGTGTATATTGTATATATAATTGCATATTAAATGATATATATTGTATAATTATACATGTTATAACATTAAACTATTAATAACTTATTTACCAATTTATAATAATTTATAAATATTAATATATTACATCTAATTATGAGTTTGAACCGAACCTAATATGAGCCTTAATCTCATATTGGCAATAATGAGCCGAACTTATGCCTTCTAACCTAGACTCGAGCCCTAATTATTTTTTAACCCATGTTTGGGCTCGTCAAATCCGATTGACGTCCCTAATTGACTTTTGAAATTAGCTCATTTTTTACTACTCGTGCAATAAAGTTAAATAGCGAATTGAATGTGACTTCATGTCACCTAGAAAGAGTTATGGATATCATTAAGATTGTCTCCAAAAGTAAGTCGTTAAGTTTTTATGACTTTTGGATAAATTAATTCTATGAAAAGAAGTGTCTTTACTCAGTGTGTTTAGTATGGAAAATTATAAGTTTGATTGTGTTTTGCATCCTCAAAAAAGTTCTGGCTTTCGGAGTTTATTAAGTTTTGATTATTTATGCATAAATAAATGAACGAACAGTGTGGATTCATGGAATTTAGGAGGAAAGTTTTGAATATAACTAAAGATTGTCTTTTTTAGGTAAATATATACCTTTTATTTCTTTTGATTAATCTGGTAATTGACTTGAATGGATACTTGAACATGGCCCCATTCGGTGTTGGAAAAAACGAAGAGGTATTAATTTGTTTAAACATTATCATTTGGAATTAAGTCTTTTGTATTTTTTGGAAGAACCAAATGATTTTAGCATGTATCGTCCTCTTTTCACCTTTTTTTTTTCTTTTACTCCACATGAAGTAAAAGGCATTTTCAATCATTTTGAATTGCTTTATTTAGACTTTAGAACAACAAGCATAATTGTGGGATGTAGACTGCAATTCAACCATATATACTCCAAAAAAGAAAGAAATGTGATTATGGAATAATTGACAATTGAAAGCGTTGGAGTAAAAATTTTGTATGATTATGGTATACCTAATATATAGAAAAGCCTCCCGTGGTTTCAAAACATACAAAATGACACCTCATGTTTTGAATTAAATTGTAAACTAACAAAATTTATTAAATTTAACGGAATCCGATAAATTTAACGGAAAACTTAACGAAATTTGGTAAATTTAACGATAAATTTAACGGAATTCGGTAAGTTTAACGGCCAAAACCGTCATTTTCGTTAAGTTTAACGAATTCTGTTAGTTTATAATTTAGTTCAAAATATAAAGTGTTATTTTGTATGTTTTGAAACCATATGGGGCTTTTCTGTGTATTAGGTTTACTACAGGAGATTTTTTTATTTTTAACCCAAAATTTATATATTAACATAGTTTAATATATAGAAGCGAGGTTAAGAAATGTGTTTAAGGAATAATACTTGGAGTTTCATAAAAATTCATTTGTGGAGTTTTCTTACACAAAGGATTTAAATTTCTTTTGATAATTTCTTAATGCAAGAAAAATGTCATAAGAAAAGTGTTCTTCAATAGTGCCTAATCGCAATTTGCCAGAAACCAGTAGTGGTGGCATGTAAGCAATTGACATGACATGAGTAAAATGTCAGCAATAAGTTTTGTGGAGAGATTTGTAGAAAATGATGGACACAACTGATGCAACTCGTGAAATATGTGTAGCTACTGAGTTCATGGATGTAGGCCTGTGAACCGGTTGGGTTTGAGTCCGGAAATTCCGGACTCGAATCCGTTTTCATGTAATAAATCCAGATCCGACCCATATATTCAAAGGATCCTGACCTTAGAGTTTCGGAACTAAATTCGATAGGTTCCGGGTCACATTCGGACCTATCCGAAAAGAAAAGATTCAAAGTTAAATATTTTAAAATTAAATTCAAAACCAATCACAAATTTAATCTCCAAACTTAAACAAATCAAATTACGAAACTAAATCACAAATAACTCAATAGTCAATCCAAAACTAATCACAAATTAATTTACAAAGTCATTACTAAATTGTTAATTTTATAAAAGAATGCATTAAGAAATATTTATATTTTATAAGTATTAATATATTATTCGAATTCGGGCTGAAATCCTATATTCCATATCCAACCCTTTTTTTTGTTAGAGTAAACGAGTTTGGGTTTGGATCCGAGTATCTGAATTATTTCTCAACCTATATCCAAAAAAAAATATTATCGAATTCGATCCGAATCCGAGTTCAAACTTGACTCGTTGACACCCTACATGGATGGTCTGGATCAAGGAAGATTAGGGAAATGGGGCATCAACATTTCTACAGTCTAGCTCCAAAGAAACCGCAAGTGTATAGTTTTCTTCTCAGTATCCCAAAACTCTTACCTTGGATTCACCACCAATCCTGAAGTCTTACTTTAACACTACACAATTCGCATGAATGTCGAAGTTCTATACATGCTGCTCGAGGATGCTCACCTTGGCCACCGTCAAAGCCAAGGTCCTCCCCACCTCATTCGTCATGCAGGCCGAGATGATGTCCCTTGGACATCACCTCTGGGTCCGGCCAGAGCTCTGGTCTACGGCATGGATGACCTTTGCACCTTAGGTCTTCCATTTCGACTGCACGCTGATAATGTCAATGTACCTGACACAATATAGAACCAGTGCTTTATCTGAAAAACACTTGAGGCTCTTAAATGACTACTGTACGGGACTCCTCGTCAACATGTCCAGGCTGCTACAGTGTCAGACTCAGACCCCCTGGTATGGGACAGAGCCGTAATGGCCAGGACGTGGGTCCTACTAACATAAGCCCACCGCCCTGTCCTCCATTACTGCCCTATAAATACCTCCCACTCACTCCCAACAAGTAAGCATGCTATTGCCTTTTTACTGTTCATTACTCTTTATTCCTCCAATATATTGACTTGATCGTCGGAGTGATCCCAGGGGAGGCGCCCCCGCTATTCACTTCAGACAAACAAACTTATCACCAAAATACGGAGTGTTAGAAGCCATGAACTATATAATAAAAAAAAATATGAGAAATAAGTTAAAAATGAAAACAAGGTGAACTTCAAAAAGAAACAAATCAATCTGACACCAGTCCCCGGCAACGGCGCCAAAAATTGACAGGTGCCGAACCTGTGCAATAATAAATACCTACTCGAGAAAAATACAGATTTTGTATATAGCGGTGAGCAGGGTCGAATCCACAGGGATTGGGGATAATTCGTTTCTTCTAGAGTCCAAAGTATGGGGGGTTTTGGATTAAATGCTAACTAAATAAATTAACTGCAGAAAATAATTGATTAAGAGAAATAATTAAGGGAAAACTCTAGCCAAGGGTACACTTCAGAAATGGTTCAGGCACTGATCATTGATTCACAGATAATTTCACATTTATTAATAGACCAGTTATAGTTGTCATGCACGCGATAAACAACCAACCTTTCCTTAATTTCTCGATAGTTAAGGTACGACCGTTAACTATTTCTCTAACCCAAAAACAACCCTAGGTACGACCGTAGGATTTAATTTCTAGATTGCATTAATAATTAGAAAGGCCCAATCCTAACTAACAAACACGCTACGAGGGTTTGTTTAAGTTAGATCGTATGCTCCCCTGACATAAACCCAATTACGCCAGTTGCTACTGAGATAAAGATAACGAACAATTATGGATTCAATTATCCCTATTTAGCAAAATAGCCCATGTGAATAATTAAATATTGCGCATCTATTCAATCACTCACACGAGCTATAGCAATTAAAAGCAGGAAACATATAAATACCAATAAATTAAGGAAGCAATTAAAATAAATTAGATCTCACAGTAATTGTTGAACCAAATCTTCAGTTGTCCCCTTGACTTGAATTAAGAGGTTAGTTCTCCATTAATGGAGAACAACCATGCGAAAGAGCTAAGAAAAGAAAACTAAAACTATGCTAAAAGTCTAAACTAAAACTATTGATTCATAAACCTCTCGTACGTTTCTCCCTTTTTAAAACCAAAAGGAAGTCTAATGCTATCTCTAGTGGTCCCCACACCAAATTCAAAGTCTTGTACGTTTCTTTTCCTAGAGTCCAAATGACTCGTGCTTCTTATCCGTGGTCCCCGTACATGTGGACAAAACCTCCAAAGTACTTGTTGTTCCAAGTCTCTCTACGTTGCTTTCTTTGAAAAATCCAAATGACTAAATGCCTTGCACTAGCTTGTGGTCCCCACCAATTCAAGGACCTAAAGGTTGAAGCCCTTAGAAGTCTGCATTTTTCCATACAAGTTCCTCCTTTTTGGTAATTTTCTGCTTCACTCCTGAAATTGATTTCAAATACCAAATATGAGTAAATATCAGCAATTAACACAATATTTGTCAGGGATAGAAGGGGAAAATAATAATAAATTTACTAACAAATTATACCCTATCACTGTTCATTACTCTTTATTCCTCCAATATATTGACTTGATCGTCGGAGTGATCCCAGGGGAGGCGCCCCCGCTATTCACTTCAGACAAACAAACTTATCACACCTCACTTGAGAGAGGACTGATTTGGGTTGGTTCTGCTACCCACCAGAAATCACCTCTTCACTACTCAACTTCGACCCCTCTTTCTCTCTCTCTCTCTCGTGTGTGATAAAGGAGCTTTTAAGGCCAATTGCACTGTTAAACTCCTACAATGAGTTAATCTCATAAAGTCTATAGTCAAGAGCAATTTTACAACCTCTGATAGATTAGGAATAAGAACAACACACTCCCTCCCTGTTGTCGGTGTTTTGAAAATC